ATACCTATGATGAAAATTACAGGCCTCTCGCATCTTTTTAAGTGGGAGAACTTGCACAATTGGTGGCTGACTAAATACTTTTTTCCCCCACTGTAAATTAACACATTTCTAGAAGACCGAGCTTCTTTATAAATACACCAAACCTGCAAAGGATAACAGTACTGTCACTGCTAATTTTTTTTTCCAGGTGTGCTGCAATGGAACACGGGTGTTTGTGCAGAGGGAGATCATGCCACAGTTCTTGGAGGAAGTGGTGAAGAGGACCAAGGCCATCGCTGTTGGGGATCCCATGTGTGAAGAGACACGCATGGGTGCCCTCATCCGTAAACCCCACATGGAAAAAGTGCTGGGCTTCATCAAGCAAGCAAAAGAGCAGGTACTGCAGTACAGTGATGTCAACATGAAATTAATTAATTTTGTAACTGCATCATAGATTTTATTGTGAACAATTTGTCCAAATATGTTTTTAAACATTTTTTGACCCCGCAATGTTTAATTTAAAATGTCAGCTCAATCTTCTGCTAAAAATGACAAATTTCTCTGGTTACATATGCCAGACGTATCCAGTCATTTCGTCCGCATAAACTCCACCCCTCCACAATTTACTGCAAGCTTGCGTTCGTTTTTTTTTTGTGCAACGCCCACATCTCAAAATCCAATCCACTACTTTCCTTTTTCTTTTCCAAAAATCCGACTCCAATATACCTCATTGTATGGAAGACAAGGTCTTTCACTTCCATTTTATCACAACTTGAACTACTTTATTCCACTGTTTGTTCAAATATTGTTCATGTAGGTGAAAACTTTTATCATTGTTGCTTTAGGGTGCAAAGGTTTTATGTGGGGGAGAACGATTTGTTCCCAGTGATCCCAAACTGAAAGATGGTTACTTTGTGTCCCCATGTGTGCTGGGTGAGAGCCATATTATTACCTTCATATTTGTATGTTATATAACAAATGCTTTAATTTTCTCAAAACCATCTTGATTCTGAGTCACCTTTTCTTTATCTGTACTTAAGTTGACTGTACTACAATATACACACAGACAACTGCCGGGATGATATGACCTGTGTGAAGGAGGAGATCTTTGGCCCTGTGATGTCTGTTCTGCCTTTTGACACAGAGGACGAAGTTCTTCAAAGAGCCAACAACACAACCTTTGGGTTGGCATCTGGAGTCTTCACCAGGTGACTCCACCATACTGCAATACAATACAATATCCTTTCTGGTGATACCAGTTTTTTTTTTTGTATACTAAGCTGATATCTTTGCATTTATTTATGATTATTAAATCGTTTTGTAGGAATCACTGTCATTTATTTATCTACAAAGTAAACTAGCTACCCTAATATTAGATTTAACATTCTCGTGCTCTGTTTTTGTAGGGATATAGCTCGTGCCCACAGAGTTGCTGAAAACCTTCAGGCAGGAACATGCTACATCAACAACTACAATGTTGGCCCTGTGGAAGTTCCTTTTGGGGGCTACAAGATGTCAGGTACTCCAAACTTATGGTTTCATGGGTGATTATTGATGGTGTCATATATATAGGAAAAACTAAACCTAAAATTGTTCTGCCAAGAGTTTTAGTACACGGGTATATTTAGTAAAAGCCCGAGAGATCTAACATTTTAATATCCTCCTTTTATTTTAGGGTTTGGAAGGGAGAATGGACAAGTGACCACCGAGTACTACTCTCAGCTCAAGACTGTTGTGGTGGAAATGGGAGATGTGGAAAGCCTCTTTTAGGCTATTGTGAGGTTAACCACCAGCGTTCCTGACAGCAATGTGGTTTCCAAAGTTCTTATGAGCTATATGAAGTTTGCCATGTAACATCTTAAAAATGCATTTTTATAACTAACAGTCCCTTACTTGAAATGTAGCCAAAAGCTACACTGTTGTTGCTTTGATTGTCCACATGTCTGTGTCAGACTTCCAGATTGTGTTGGTATGATATTACTAACATGTAAGAACAGGCTTAACTGTTTCAGGTCTGTGAAATGTTTGACAAGCAGAATATTTTTTTTTTTTTTTTTTTTTT